AAAATATTCTATGCAAAAATTTGTCCCATACTACTATATGGCATAAAAAAAAACTTTGGAAAAACTATCCAAACAAAACCTGCGGAAAATAGAACAAGTGAAGGCAAGATACCTTAAACTAGCGCTAGGGCTTCCTAAGAACACACAATCCAGACTAACATACGAACTCTGCAAGGAAAATTTCCTATTAGAAGAACACAGATATCAACTGCCAAGCACAAAAAACTCAGAGGAAGTTATCAAAGAAAGAAAACAAAAAAGAGAGGAAATATGGGAAGAGTTCTACAGCACTGATGCAATGACTGACACAACCTGGACAGGACCCAGCAGAAAATTACGACACACAATTACCAGGTTGGCAACACACGGATTCCACCACAAGATATGCAAGAACGAACGTTTCCACGAAGCAAATGACGCGTGTGTGTGTAAACACTGCGATAAAAAGTGCAGTAGATACCACATTACTATATGCAAAAACTTAACCACATCAATAACCGAATACAGTCGCGAATAGAAAACAATTACTCTATGCACATTGTGCGCGTTCCCTTATTATTATTATTATAACCTAAAACTAAACGAGAATATTCTACTTTGTTGTTATTAGTTATTCATAGATTCAGATAATAACGTGTGGTACAATTGAAACTGTAAAGCCTGCAGTAAAATTGTATTTTACTTTTGAAGGCCATATACACAAATTTGCCGTATCGAATATTTTATATAAAAATACACATGTTTAGATTATTTTTTTACCTCTTAATACCAAAATATTAATTGGTAAAGTGTTCTGCTCTGTTTTCAACCTTAAATTTTCTAAGATGGTACTACCTAAAGATGACCTAAAAAGAGGTCGAAACATGCGGATTTTGAAATAAAATCACTAGACACCGCAGAGCTGTGTCGATGAACGTTTTAAAAAGTAAAATAAAATTTATTGAAATCTTAACGTCTACATGCCTGTAATTACTTTGGTGTACAGTTACTGAGCCTCTTATAGTTAAATCTTATAAGTGGTCTTAAGAGTTCCATTTTTGTGTGTGGTTATTCAGTTTATTTCTAGCATTAGAATGATCAAGTCAAGGAAGGTGAGGTGGGCAGGTCATGTAGCGCGAATGGGGGAGATTAGGAATACGTATAGGATATTGAACTGGAGAATGTGAAATGTTTTAAATATTTGGGTAGCTTGTTAACAGATGATGGAAGGTGTACTAGTGAAATTAAATTCAGGATTGCCATGGCAAAAGCTGCATTTAGCAAGAACAATCTTTTTACCAGCAAATTGGACTTAAATTTGAGGAAGAAACTAGTGAAATGCTACATTTGGAGCATAGCTCTGTATGGGGCTGAAACATGGACACTTAGGGTAGTAGATCAGAAACATCTGGAAAGTTTTGAAATGTGGTGTTGGAGAAGGATGGACAAGATCAGTTGGACCGATTATGTGAGAAATGAAGAAGTGTTAATTAGAGTTAATTGTTAATTGTAGTTAATTGTAGAGTTAATTGTAGCCGTTATTTGAAGATTGTTAAATAAACCAATTAACCATCTCTACAGCGTCTTCAGTAACGAAACACGTTACACTGGTGTCAGAAGTGGGATT